TTTAGTTTGAACTAATATTTCATTTTAGAACTATAATGATTTGTAGTGTAACTGCAATTATTCAATTTGAAACTATAGTGATTCATTTCTGAACTGCAGTGATTCATTATAATAATTCATTTTAGGACTGTATTGATTCATTTCTGAGCTATGATTCATTTTAGAACTACAATGATTTGTTTTGTATCTATAGTGATTCATTTTTTAACTATTGTGATTTATTTTAGAACTATAGTGATTCATTTTTGATCTAATGGTTCATTTTAGAACTGCAGTGATTTGTTTCTGATCTATAATGATTCGTTTTAGGACTGTATTGATTCATTTCTGAACTATGATTAATTTTAGAACTACAGTCATTTGTTTTGTATCTATAGTGATTCTTCTTTGAAGTGATTCATTTTGGAACAGCAGTGATTCATTTTTTAAATATAATGATTCATTTTAGAAATGTGATTTATTTTACAATTGTAGCAATTCATTTTGCAAGTGTAGCAATTAGTTTTTCAGAATACTTGCGTAGTGATTCATTTTTTAGAGTACTCTGAGTTTAACCAGCGTATTGTGTGGTATTTTACAGTAAGATCAGCTGTAACGCGAGCCAGAGTGTGTCTGTGTGTGAATGAGAAACCCGAGACAAACGCAGTGTTAAAATGCTAATTGAATGTGTGCTGGAGGTCAAGCAGACACTGTGCTCATCAGCATTCAAACCCGAGGCTCTCTGATGGTGTGGATGTGTAGTTTTGTAGGCACACGGTTCAGACCGACGGGAATCTGGATGTGGCCGGTTCTGTTTAAGTGCAGAAGGGCTTTAAATGGGTCACATTACGTGCTGGAGTTTCCATGCAGCGCTCCCAAAAGGAGCATGTTTGATTGAATTAAAACCAGCCGAGCTGCGCTGCCTTCAAATCAAGCCCAGAGCTCTGAGCGCCGGCCGTCACACACACACACACACACACTCACACTCACACACACACACACACACACACACACACACACATGTCTGGCCTTGTGGGGACATCCCATAGGCGTAATGGTTTTTATACTGTACAGACCGTATATTCTATTGTCTTACACCAACCCTACCCCTAAACCTACCCCTCACAGGAAACTTTGTGCTATTTCAGATTTTCAAAAAACTTAATTCTGTATGATTTATAAGCTTTTGTACCCGTGGGGACCACAATTTAGGTCCCCACCGTGACACGAGTCCCCATAAGTCTGTGTGTAGTCAGGTTTAAGTCCCCACCAGGATATATAAACCAGTACACACATACACACACAGAGACACACACACACACACACAGAGTGTGTGTCCATCTGATGTCAGGTGACCTGTAGATCATCGTCTTCATTGTGCTCTGTGTGTGTGTGTGTGCTAGGGGTGTGCGATGTTGACAAAAAATTATATCTCGATATTTTCTGGGATTTTATTGATAACGATAATTAGACAGTATTTTGCTGAGTGTGTTATTGTGCTTGTATCTTAAGGACTACCGTGGACAGCTGACTCCTGAGGTTTTTAATATTCTTCATATTCTGTGTGGTGGTCAGTTCACACCGAGAGAAATTAATCTTTTCCAATAAGTTTAAACTTATTTTTACCATTTTATGGGCATTTTTACCTTTATAAAGCCATTTTTTTTCTAAAAGTGTCCATTATCTTTTGAGTCAAATTCTTACATTTAATCAGTGAATTAGAATAATAAGACATTTGGGCTGTTACCAAGCAAATGAAATCAACACAGAAGCTGCATCTGAAGTGGCATTTAGATGTATTTACACACTGTTTAATGCAAGACATGAATGCATTTAACCTGCAGAACAAATGCATAAATAATGTTTTGATATATTAAACATTAAACGTTGAATACTAATATTTGAAATTATTTAAATAATAAAAGAAACTTTAAATGTGAAATTAAAACCACCAGTAGGTGGCAGATGGTAATATTTGGAGAAAATTGGGCTCTTCGTGTGAAACTGATTATTAACTATATGAAATGGTGTAAATATATACATTTTCTGCCCCATGTCTTGAATTTGTGTTCATTCTAAATATATTTTAATAGACTGAATCATGCAGTGAAAGAACGCACTCTAAATGCGCACTAATCTAGACTTCATGTAATGTAAGCGTGCGCTCTGTAGGGGTGTTTTGTTTGGTTTTTGCAAAATACTCGATAATGTCAAATCGCACATCGTTAAAACAACAATTACGATATCTCTCTCTCAATTCAATTCAATTCAATTCAATATGTGCTTTATTGGCATGACAGTTGTTACAATGTGTTGCCAAAGCATAGTGTTTACATTGAATCTACAACAGATATGTATTTTTTTTTTTAAATGAATGAATAAATAAATAAATACATGCATGTATATATAATTAAATAAAATAGAACAAATCAATTCTGTGAATTCTAGAATTCTATGAACAATTTAAAATTCTGTGTGGTGTGTGTGTTCTGTCTTTCTGTCTTTATCTCTCTCTCTCTGTCTCTCTCTCTGTCTGTCTTTGTCTCTGCACAGTGTGTTGTCCTCGTGAGCTCACGCTGTGTTTTCTGTGAAAGCAGCGGGTGTGTTTTAGGACGGAGGAACCCCCGCACACTTCAGGACAGTTGTTGTCTGTCTTTGTTCTCAGGGGATGCTTGTGCTCGGGGCCCCGCTGGAGCCGCCTGTATTATTCATCTCTGCGCTGCTGCACTCTTGCCCGTTTGTGTTCACTATATTATTCTGTAGTGCAAACACACACGAGTGTGATCCAGTTATCATAATGTGATGTGTTAATAACCCACAGCTGTATGCAAATGAGCAGCCGCACTGGCCAATCACAGTCGTGTATTCACAATAAGACTGATTTTCGTGAAAAGAACTCTAGTGATTAATTTATGAACTGTAGTTATTCATTTTAGAATTGCAGTGATTTATTTTTTAACTATAGTGAGTCATTTTTAACCATAGGGATTTATCTTAGAACTATAGTGATTCATTGTAGAAGTATAGTGATTCATTTAGAACTACAATGATTCACTATAGAACTGCAGGGATTCATTTTTGAACTATAATGATTTAAAACTATAGTGATTCATTGTAGAACTACATTGATTCGTTTAGAACTACATTGATTCGTTTAGAACTACATTGATTCACTTTAGAACTGCAGTGATTCGTTGTAGAACTATAGTGATTTCTTTTGGAACTATAGTGATTCATTATAGAAATATAGCGATTCATTTAGAACTACTGATTCACTTTAGAACTGTAGTGATTCATTTTAGAACCACAGTGATTCATTTTAGAACTATAGAACTACATTGATTCGTTTAGAACTACATTGATTCGTTTAGAACTACATTGATTCGTTTAGAACTACATTGATTCGTGTAGAACTACATTGATTCGTTTAGAACTACATTGATTCACTTTAGAACTGCAGTGATTCGTTGTAGAACTATAGTGATTTCTTTTGGAACTATAGTGATTCATTATAGAAATATAGCGATTCATTTAGAACTACTGATTCACTTTAGAACTGTAGTGATTCATTTTAGAACCACAGTGATTCATTTTAGAATTACAGTGATTCATTGTAGAACTGTAGTGATTAATTTTAGAACCACAGTGATTCATTTTAGAACTATAATGATTTATTTTGGAACTATAGTGATTCATTATAGAAATATAGCGATTCATTTAGAACTACAATGATTCACTTTAGAACTGCAGTGATTCGTTGTAGAACTACAGTGATTCATTTTAGAACCACAGTGATTCATTTTAGAACTACAGTGATTCATTGTAGAAATATAGTGATTCATTTAGAACTGTAATGATTCATTTTAGAACCACAGTGATTCATTTTTGAACTTATTTTTTATGATTCATTTTGTAACTGCAGGGATTTTGAAACTATAGTGATTCAGTTGTATGCAAATGAGCTGTCACGGTGGCCAATCACGGCTGTGTGTTTTCACAATAACGTGATGTGTGTGTTGTGATGTGTTTCGTTATAAGAAATAACTAGAAATATTCTAATCACTTCATTTCACAGCTAAAAGGTGTATTTCCAGTGCGTGCCCTACTTTATGTAGAAAACAGCTTTGTCTAGATCAGGGTTAAGCTAATAATGGGTTAAATATGAAAAACAAATAAAAACTTGGAATATGAAATATTTTATTTGTTTAGCCGCATGTCATGTGATCATTTACTTACATGTTTTGTTAAATTACTGAATTATTAGTTTAAATCTCAGAGGGTCTCTTACTTATAGAAAATATTTAATTTCACAGGGTTTGACAAAAAGTTTTAGAGTTTTAGGACACATTTCACTCAGGCTCCTGCGTGTGACCTCGGGGGGTTTCTCAGTGAAGGTCAGAGGTCGCTGAGAATGCCTGATATTCCTCACTGGGGTTTGTGGGAATGTTTGGATGATTGTCGAGCAGGAGAGAATGAGACAGGCGGTTTCTCAGTGTGGCAGTATGAGTGTTTAAACAGGAAGTGCTCTGTCGGGAGACAGGAAACACTCTGTAAAGGCTTGTGGCTTGTTGTGAATCCATCAGATGAAGATCAGTAACATGTGATCAGACCTGATGAATCTGTGTGTTTATTGTTAATGTAATGTGGAGTGCTGATGTTATGTGGCTGTAAACACATGAGAGACAGTGTGTGTGTGTGAGGATCAGACTGAAGCTTCTAGAAGGGTTTCCTCCAGAACCTTTGGAGGTCCATCTGGTCAGCAGCTCAGTTCTGCTGTGTGTGTTTGATGTGAGGTTAATGGATGGTGTGTGTATGACGTGGGTTCTCGAAGCGTGTGTCTATACAGTTTTAACTGTATTCTGTGTTTATCAGTAGATGTGTGTGAGTCTGGTGTGTGTCAGATGAGTCTCATTAGAGTCTACAGAGATGGAACAGTATTCCTGTAGATCAGTACATCACAGCGTAGCAATGGCAAAGTCATGGGTTCAGTTCCTGAGAACATCTAAACCTTAAATAGGGCCCTATGAAGTCCTTTTTAGTTTCCCCCCAAATTCCGTAAAATTTTTTTCCCAAAGACATTGTTTCCATTTTAATGTTTCTTTTTTCATTTTGATTTTCTGGATTCTGTTTTTTTTTTTTTGTGTGTTTTAATTTAGCTAGACTCTGTTTTAATGGTTAAATTAATTGTTATTCATCAAAAAGCATGTCTAATTAATAGAAATAATGAAACTTACAATGTTAAACAGGTATTTTATTTTATTTTTTTACCAAATTCTGTTTTCCATAAATTTTTTCTGGATTCCATTTTAATGGTTTCATTAAATATTAATAATCAAAAGCATGTCTTATTAATTGATTTTATAAACCTGACCTACTTTTGATGTGTCCATCCGAAATTTGGCAAATTCCATGACATTACGCGTTATTCAGTAAATTCCGCTTTTATTACTGGATTCTGCAATTTCATCCCCGTTTTCCGCATCACAGAAATCATAGGGCCCTACTTAAATGCAATGTAAGTTGCTTTGGATAAAATCATCTGCTAAAGTCTGCTGTTCTCCTCCAGAAACATCAGGACGATTGTGTCAGATACAATGTTGCCAGGGTCGCTGTTTTCCCGCACAATTGGGCTATTTTGAAAATGCAGTCGCGGGAAAAATTACAGTTTTTTGGGCTATTTTTATAATGTACCGCAGCCGCCTAAAGTTTATCTATAGACAAATAAATATGAAAATAGATCCTTTTACTAATGTGTATTATGGAGAGATGGATGTCACACACACAGCAGATGTTAAGGCTTTCACACAGCAGAAATACACAACTTAAATTGTTAAATTGTTTTATTAGACACGATTTTTGATGCTACATTTGTATTAAATCATCAAATACAAAATAAATAAAATGGAAAAGAATTAAGGGAAAAATAAAATGGATTTCATGGGGCATTAAATTAAACGATGGCTTAAAGGAGTTTATGAAAAAATTAAGTTATGTTTACATTCATTCTCAAGGTCTAAAAAACACATGGAAAGTATTTCTTTCCATATTAATGATAAATGAATATTGTGATAAATATCGATACCATATGATATGGAAAAAAAATATATTGTCATAATATTTCTGGCCATATTGCCCAGCCCTAATTTTAAACTTTATCATGAAAAGTGCTGAAAATTAAAGAAAAGAGGAAAATAAAAAATTAAAATAAAATAAAATACAGATTAAATATATACATAGTACTAGGCATGGGCCGGTATGAGATTTTGACGGTATGATAACCTTACTTTACTCGCCACCACGGGGCGTGAAGGGGAGACAGAACCAGGTGGAGAACGAGCAGCCAGGACAAAACGAGGAGCTCGTTCCTAAACGAGGGACTACATCTGTAGTATGGACACGTGTTTTTAAGCACTGCAGTTTTAAAACAACCGACTTTAAGCCGTTGAAACACAAACAACAGAGCTATATGCGTGCGCCGTCTATTGTTTCTGTGTGAGCGGTGCGCGCATTTTTTTTGCTGATTTACATAAACGCACTTATATGCGTCAGAATCCCCGTCTTTGCAAGTATCCTCATAAACGCAGTGATTTAGGTCTTAAGACCACCCACTCAGACGTCTGCTGTTCTCCATCATGTGACCCATGGAAACCAGGAAGTGGCCTCTTCATCTGATTGATCTTCAGCTCCACACAAGAGTTCAGTATGGAGCGCCGCTGATTGTTACAGTCAGTGTGCAGTTCACAACCATAACCACATGATCATCACATGATCAGCTTTCTTTATAAAGCACATTGTTTCAAACCGGCTTTACAGAAAAATATAAAAAAAATTAAAACAATGCAGAATTTCTCAAAAAGAAAAAAGAAAAAAAAACATTTAATGGAGCTCTTTTATTGTAAAACAATTTATAAATTAAATTATTAAAGTTTTAAAGTTTCAATTGATTGGACATGCTTTTTGATTGTTAAAATTATGAAACCATTAAAATGCAAAATTAAAACAAGTCACAGAATTTCAGAACATAAAGCATATCACAAACCCCCCAAAAATTATATTTTTTATACTTTTAATAAAATGTTAAATTGTATAAGTTTCATGATTTTTAATTAATTAGACATGCTTTTTAATTACTAAAATGTAATATGACCATTCAAATCAGAAAAATTAAAATGGAGAAAACAGAATCCAGAAAAAATTAAAAGGGGAAAAAAATGGAATTTGGGAAAAATAAATAAAAAGGATTTGATCGTGATTGATGTTATAGTCAAACACATTGCATTACAGGATATGATATGTTCTGATTGGCTCATGCAGCTGGTCATGTGTGTTTCACGCACACGTATGAAGCATGTTCTGTTGAAGCACTGATGGCGTGTCAGTCAGAACAGACTTTAGCTTCTGTTCTTCATCATGTGACCTTCAGCCGGTCTCTCCTGAGGCATTATGGGAGCTGTTCACCTCTCAGCCGCAGGTGTTCTCCCAGCTGAATAACAGCGCTCCTGGTTTTCCCACGCTCACGATCCGTAGAGCGAACTAGTGAAGCGTTTAGTGAAGTATGAGTATGAAGTATTAGTGAACTCTCTCCCTTTGTGCTCTGTTGTTGTGATGGATTGTGGGATGAGTGTGAAAACATGCAAACGATTTTCTGATCCTAAACCTCACGACACACTAATGGCTGCTTCTGGAAACGCATTCAGTGAGTGTGTGTGTGTGAGAGAGTGTGTGTGTGTGAGTGTGTACGTGTGTGTGAGAGAGAGTGTGTGTGTGTGTGAGAGAGAGAGTGTGTGTGAGTGAGAGTGTGTGTACCTGGTATTTATCACATTATGGGCGCCAAATGTCCCC